CCTACAGGGGTTCACTCAGGTGTGCGCCGCACGAGGGCAGCAGTGCATGGAGAGGGGGGACGCCTTTTGCTGCTTCTCAACGAGTGCCTACAAGCAAGACTTGGTCGCTGTTTGCTGCTTATAGTATGTGACAATCAGTTCGCGTAGCACATAGACCCCCAGTTGTTTCCATCCATTCCTAGTTGATATCGCCCACTGTGTGCTAACTGTACCTATTGGTTGGGTATTCGAACTGGCTGTTACTCACTATACCGCCATGTGTGCCATGGTCAAATGTCCGTTTGCTTGGGCTTAGGGATGGCTCAACACTGGGAATTTGGATTTCATCCGGGCGAATCCCACGTGGCCGGTCATTCGCAAAGCTTCGGGCCTCGGGTCTGCGCTGTTGAAGCCGCGCTTCGCAGGAGTTCAAGTTGAGATCACAAGTAATGTGCTGGGTTGTGGTGTTTTACGAGGTTGTAGGTCTTCACAGCCCCAGAGGAATGAGTGGGTCGTTGTTGTCTATTGGTTACTGAGCCGCTGCCATGCCAATTCGTTACAGCTTTTCTCCCTAGTTGAAGGCACCTGAATCTTGTAGGTGTGCATGGTTCCCGCCGTTTGCCGAAAAAGCTAAAATTCAGTTCTTTGGTCGAAAACACATGTTTCCGCTGCAAAAGCGTCGTTTCAATTTTGGCTGGAAACATGTTCGGGAAAGTCGCATTCTGGTCGGGAGTGTCACCGTTTGGTCGGGGAAAGTCTACGCTTCACCTTCATTTCTCTCAAAACAATAAAACAGTAACAAGTGCCTGCTTTTCCCGACAAGGCACAAGACATGCACACGTTGGACGATCCAGGTATCCATGGGAAACACTGACTCCCTAGCCGAGGCACCTCCCCGCTGTGCGACAGATCGCTCCTGAAGGCGGGCAGAACGGACTCGCTTCGAGCACGTCGCGTTTGTTCCAGTTGGTCCAAGTGAGCATTCTATTTCACCAAAGGCACTGGTTGAGAGCGAGAGGTTCACCAGTACAAGCCAGTTTGAGATCTGAAGACGGCAACAACAAATTCGGCTAGCTGTGCTCGTGCGAGTGTGGGCACTCAGACAGGTGGTTTTACAGCGCTGGGAAAGCACCTCATGAAAACGTGAGACCTCTTCCCCCACGTCTGGGAAGACGACGCCCGCGTTTCCGTGTTCTCAGGGTGATGCCACAATCATTCTTTACCTCAGTTGCCCAAAGCGAATCGACCTTTTGACCTTTTGGTTTTCCTGATTTGGTCCATTTTGGTAAAGGTTTTCCCAGGTCCTTTGAGCCAGTGCGTTACAAAGTAGCTGGGGTCCTGACCTGCTGACAAGCACCAGACCCCCCGATCTGAGGCGAGCCGCCCCAGACGAGTCGCTTCCTGCGCCGCGCAGAGGCGATGGAGCTGCGCCAAGTCTTACGAGCCTTGGTATCGGGGAAGAAACCGTCTGTCTATGACAGGGCTCCTTAAAAGATGACATTTTGCAACCATTTGAAACATGTTGCTTTTTCCAGCAAAATAAAGGGAAACCACGAACAAGGCAATGTTCAGGTGTATAATGTAAGGATCCCTGTATGAGGTGTGGATCCGCTGTCCCCGGAGGCATCGGGTGCCAAAAGTTGGTCCCCTGACGGCACAAAACCAGAGGACTGGAGGGCCCCTCGCTCAAGGCAGTAGGTGAGAAGGTGACCTCCAGCGAGCTCCGCGAGCTCCGTTTCTTTTTGGCCGTTTGCGGTTTGCCACATGGGTGTGGCAATCAAAATTAAAGAGCAGGTGGGTTACCGCAGGTTTTGGTACCCATGTTTCCACTGACCAGGGCAAGCTATTTTGGTACCGATTTTTTGAGCCACAGCCACATAATTTGCTTGGAAGTGGTTTACATGATATCCGGAGGTCACATGACATCCACGCAATGCCACAAGGAACGGCACAAGATGAGTGACCCGAATGACCGCGTCATTATCGTCGCGTGCCTTGGCAGATCGGTGCGCAGTGATGCCCACTTGCCGGGCTTATGGAAAAGAGCCTCATGAGCAACTTAGAACAAACTCACCTGGCCAGTTCGGGAAGTATAGTTCATTTGCGCAGATTATTGCAGTTTTTGGCCACGCCAGGCGTGGGTTTGTGGTTGAATGAGAACCCCCTGGATGCAACTCACGTAGCTTTCAATCCCCGGAATTTGGGACCCAGTTCGGATTTGACCCCCCACGGCAATCTCCTACAAAGTGACGATTTTCGGTGAACCCCCAATGGACTCCCTTTTTAAGGATGACATTTCTTCGCGGCGCCCGCTTTTGTGGGATTGGTTTTTTGGTTTTGGACCAGCTGAGGTGCGCCCGAAGCGGCAACCAGTGTGTAGGCGCGGAGAGAGCGGAGCGAGCGGAGGGGGGATGCAGAGGCCGGTTGCACCGTGCCATAAACGCGGCTCTCGGTTGCAGGATGGTTCAGAGTGACCTGTTGAGGTCACCCTCTGTTCAAAAACAAATGGAAGAGTCAAGTTGCTAGCCTCTCAAGGATTTGCAACGTACGCCTGTAGTTTGTAAGCTCTCTTAGGATTAGGTTGGCCTTTGTTCCCATTCGTTGCTCTTCGACAACCGCGTTGTATCACACCGAGCAAGCATGAATATGTGACAACCCAGGCAATGGTGGCTTACTATTCCTGGTATATTGCAGCTTTCTTGCCATGGCAACGTCAACGCCAGGCTTGCATTTGCTCTTTGTTTCTTGCTAGGAAGCGCCCTTTGAGGCCTATCGCTGTTGCATGTGGCATACCAATGTGAAACAATGCCGTCCGGGAGAGAAATGCTTCGGTCGATTCGCAAGTTTCTGAGGCCGGGCTTCCCCGCTGTCAGACATGGCCTGCTGCAAGAAGTAGATCTGCGATGCACAAGGACCCGGGTTTTGGTTGGACACGCTTCGACGGTCAGCTTCAGATCTTACTCCCTGAGCTCCTGGGCTTGAAACTTTTCGGGGAAGACCGTTTTGGTGGCAAGCAAGAAGTTTGAACGTGTTTTTTGGCCAATCCAGGCAGGACGTGTGGAATGTGCAAACCGAGACTCCAATGTTCTAGAAGAAAACAGGAATACACGAAGTCTTTCTGCATGGCATGAGGGGAAGGCAACATGTATTCAGCCTAGAAACTTGAGGTTGCATAGGCAAGTCATATTCAGTTTGACAGTATCCAGGAATTAGTACTATTAGGAGTGAACATTGTGTTGGCATGGCCGCATCAGTGCTGAAAGGGAGGATTTGTTCGATCCCTGACATGTCTTCCCTACTTATTCCATCTGCATTCCTTGCCAGGTCGTGCAGTGCTTGCGGAATTCGAGGCAGTTCCACGCTGAATCAGATCTAAGCTTCGCACCTAACAACCGGTGTGCACGATTTCGTCTGATATGTTTTGATGTGAAGAGCCCTGTAATTTTCGTGCCAGGGTTGCTCCGAAACAAGCATGCTTCTGGTGAAAGAGAGCAAATCGTGCCATGCACGGTGCTCATCCTTCAATTGGTTCCTTAGTGATTCAGCGGATTGTGGAGCTGATGCTTGCAGGTAGCCAAGATCGATGTTGAGTTGTCTCAATCTAATGTGTTGCGCCAGCAAAGTTTTGCACTGCTCCCAGTTCAAGCGCCTCTCCAAGGCCACTCTGGAACGACATGTTGAGAGAACAGCTATACCACGGGCGGTAGAGAAGAACACAGGGCTAGCTAGCCAAACTTCAGCTGGGAGATCCCGCATACGGGAGCAATGTGCAACGACTTGGAACAACCTAGCTTCATGTATGCCGGAGGGATGCGTCTAGCCGAGTTACGTATCATTTTTGAAGTATCCTGCGCCGTTTAATAAGCGTGCGCAAGCAAGTCCAGATGTTTTTCACCATTGTCAGCCACACATGACTCGGAGGAACTGAAAGCAGCTGCACTGAGCGCGGCAGGCAGCAGCTGAGCGTGACTAGCTCCAGTCTGGCGACAAGGAACTGAAAGAGAAGACTCCTATCAAAGTGATTGACAACTTGCCAAGAATTGCCAGGGTGAGAGCCATTGGTCTGGATGCCAAAGTGCGCATGACTCGAGCGCAGATTCAAGGTTTCCAAACAATTGAATTGCTTTGCCGACAGGTGTGTCACCCCTCCTGGCCAGCAATACCAGAGCGAATTTCGGGGTCGTTGCATATTGAACTTCGAATCTGGTGATATATTTTTCCCCTTTCTCAGGATGGCCAAGAGGGGCTGATATTTCAGGATGTCTTAACGTACTCGAGGCCGGCAAAAAAACACCACGGATCGTCAACTTTGATGACGGGTGGAGGCTGTGTGCTGCTTCGTAGAGTCTGCAGTTCGAATATGCCCGTGATCCGTGCGGCGCATGATTCCAGCTGGTTTGACTCTGCCGTTTGCTTTCTGCTTCTCCTCATTTGTCAGCTTGCAGGTTTTTTGTTGGTGATCTCAAAGTATCACCCGCTGCCTGACGTGTTTATTTGGGTCCATCCTAAACACAAAGCCCTTCCAACAGATTGGCACGGGCAGAGATTGCTGTGCTGGGTTTCTTATTCTACTTGATCAATTTTGACCAAGCCATCTATGGCAGTCTATGGTCTAGAACCAAAAGACGCTTTTGTAAGACTGTTTCGCACAGGGAGAAGTTCCAAGACGTGTCAAAGCGCAGGCCTTTCCATCTATGCAGTAGCCATGAAGCAGCCCTCCTTTTGACCACATCCCTGGCGCACTGATTTGTTCCAAGTCCTGGTCACTTCGGGCTGTGATAGGCATCCACTCATTGTTTGTTCAGAAATGACATGAATGACTTGGCTATCCCCAAAAAAGTTGGTTGCGAAGTCAAAAAGAATCGAGTTATTTGGGTGTGTCAAACCTTTTGAAGGAACCCCTCTCTTTTTTTTTCTGGGAACAAAGAAGCCGGGGGCAAACCTCTTTTGGGCGGGGTGAAGCCAAGACGTGGGCTCACAGAACCACGCCGCCGCCCCAGGTTGGGCGGCTGATGCCCTAGATGAGCGTTCAGGCGTCTTTGACCCGAATCGGAACTGACCCGTCTCTCGCCCGCCACTGCCGGGTTCCGGGTGAAGTTGGGTGTACGTGTTATTTTCCTCTGGTTTTGAAGGAAAGCTATTATTTCCTCTAGTTTTAAAGGAAATCTATTAATGTTTGTTTAAGGGGACGAAGGCAAACGGAAGGGGATGGAGTGCATTGACTGTCAGAGATGACTTGGTTCCTTGTACTGAGCCTGTTTCAGGGTTGTCCCTCATGGCAAGGGTCATCAAGGCTCAGGTGTCCACGGAACAGCGAACTGCGAACTCAAACATGTAAGCCAGGTCATCCATGCAGGTGGCTCATCGTGTGGAGTGTTGTGTTGTTGCATTTGTTAGGCATGTTTGACCTTTTGGTTGGGAACATGTTCCTATCCTAGTGTCACACATGCAAGTTGCCAGAACGTGCTGATTTATTATATCAAGTTGTTGCGTGCGCCTTTGAGACTGACATGTATTCGTTGGTTGTTTGTCCAGCAGCACATATGAAGGTTTCCGCCGGGTTCTTGCAACTCTGACATCTTCCTCTCAGCACAAATATATACTTTTTCTATCCAAGCTGTGTTGTCTAGTTTCTGGCTGTCGCTTGTGAGCTTGCAAGGCAAGTAAGTGCGATCAAACCCAGAGTACGTGTAATTACATTTGATGAACAATGCATTGCGCGCGTATATAGTTTATCTATAGGGATGTGTTGGCGGTGATGCGAATCATGATCCAGTGATTTGTATTTTGCAGTTGATGTGTCGTCCATTCATGAACAATCTCCCACGTTTTGTGGAAACTTGGGCTATGAAACAAGCAACAGCTCCTTCAGAGGTCAGGAAATGAGGCTCCAGTTTTGCTGGGAAATCACTTGCCACTCTACGGATAGTTGTGTGTGTGTGTGTCTGTTTTTCGTTGGGTACCCCTTTTTTGAGTTGGCTTAAAGGGAAACCAAAAAGAAGCCATCCATTTTGGAGGTCACCCTATTTTGACACACATACCCATTTGGTATGCGTTAGCTTGAAGATGCTTGAAGCATTATACAGGGCAGAATTTCAAAATGTTGAACGTCAACCGGGCAGCACTCTAGTTGACCATGCCCTTGCTGCCACGGCTTCGAGTAAACCATGCAAAGGTTTACCATGTAAATGTTGCCTGTTTTGCGTTTTTGCAGCCGACCAAGGTATCAAGGTTGCGTGCTCCAATCCCTGGCTTGATCTTGTCAGCGATATTTCAGTCGAAGTTGTTTGGTGCAAGCTGGCTTTTAGATTTGCTTTGTAAAGGTTCGAGGACAACTTCACGTTTGTTGGCAACATAAACTTCTGTATCTAGCCCAGGGTGCTGAGTCAAGTGCAAGCACAGTTGCCTTCTATGCAACATGACTGCTTCTTTCTTTGCAAAGTTCGTTCAGGTTGCTTCACAGGTCTTCACACCGAGGGGTAATGCAAACTTGGCCAGGCCAACTCGCCGAAAGCAACGGAGACTGGGCCTGCATTGGGAGGCAGGATCCGTGCAGACTTGGCATACACGAGTTGACCAGGGTTCGGACTGGTTGGCATGTTTGCTCCCAATCAAAATTTCCCATCCGTCTGGTCAGCAGGACTACAGGAAAGAAGGAAAGTGCTTGTGCGATCGTTCCAGCTGACACGTGCCCAGATCAATCATGGCCTCGATACAGGAAGTTGCCCCTTACAAGCTGAGACCAAGCGTAGCAAGAAAGTGTCGCATTCTCGCCTTGTTCACTACGCAGTAAGTTTGGAATGGCACTGCCTGGGGCTATGACAGAACCTAGTACCAGCAAAGTACAGTCTGCCAGTCGGTCAGCAAAGAAGACGCAATTTCTTGGTGTGACTGGTTTCGTGGACCATGATGCAGAGTGAGGGTGCTGGACTATGCTTTGTCACGGTCATTGAGGGTTTGTTCGTCTGGTGCCAAGATGAAGTGGAGCTCGTTTGCAAAGGTGTTTGTCTTAGAGGGTTGCTCAACTCAAACTCAAACCATGCTGTCCAGGGAAATTCTTCAGACACCTTTTGGTCTCCTTGGAATCGATGTGTTTCTATTTGCCGTCTTCAGGGGGATTTGCTGCTGTTTGTTCCAAAGCTAGAACCAAAAGCATCGCCCTCTTCGAGCTGCAGCCATCCATCCGCTGTGAATCGGAGTCGGGGGCGTTCGTTTGAAAGTCGGAGTCGGGCCTTCCAAAGGCTAGCGGTGGGTTATTTTGGAGCGATACCAAAAGGGCGTCGCCGAGTCACCAGGACCACATTATGGAAATCCGCAAACCGTGACGGAAGTTATCACGGGATTTATCGTATCCAGAATGGAAGCTCAGTCCAAGGTAGAAACCGCTGTACCTCCATGTGAATTTTCTTGTGGAATTTCTTGAATGGAAGCTCAGTCCTGCGAAAAGTGCTTGGAGCCCCACAAGCTAGGGCTTGGGGTCAAAGGAGGAGCATCAAGGAGGGAGGAACCCGCTCAGAACCCTCCCTCCTTGTACCACCTGAGCCATAGTCAAAGCCTTAGTGCAGGTTAGTAAGGGACAGCCCCACTGCCTTTGTAGCTGTTTAGATTGGTTTGGGTAGACCATTTTAGGCCAGGTGTTGATTGTGACTCCCCGTTTCTTAGGATTGCATGAGTGTAATGCCCAAAATCGAGGATGCTAAAATTCCCAAGGCCTCCAAACCAGAATCCCCACTTTTGAACACAGCATAGGTAGAGACTGCAAAAGGATGCATTCCTTTACTTTGTCTATGTTCATGGTATCCATTTTACGTCGCTTAGATTCAGGTACCCAATCCAGTGAGAGGTGACGGGTCCTTTCGTCCAAACATGCATTGTGCCATTTGATGGAGCTTCCAGGAATTAGGAATTGGTGTTTCTGCATCAGAGTAAGCCCTCCCACCTCATAGTGAGGGGCAGTCACAAATGAACGGAACCTGAGGTCCTTTCTGCAAAGTTAGTATTTGGATGTTGTAGGCATCTACCTCCCACCCAGGGGCAGCCCACCCGCAGGCTCCGCCGCTGCTCCCAGTGGACGGCCGCAGGCGCGGGGTTGGCATGTCGCGAGCGGCCCATGGAGGGTTGCTCCCGAAGCGGTTGGGGTGGTTTGGGCCATTTGGTGCGAAGTCATTGGCGGAGTTTGGATGATTTTAGTGACCAGGTTGTTCAGTTTGAGTGGTTCATGTGTTGTTTAGGTCCTGCAGTTTCTTCTGCCTGCAATTTAGGAGTGACACTAGAGAGAGAAAAAGATCCTGCAATGGTTGAGTTGCGCTGGCTTTGCCTCTTCCGTGCTCTTGCCAGAAGTGCGGCATCTGGTTGACTCAGTAGAGCGACAGTTGCTTGGAACTCGAAGCATTGCTTATTGACCAGCAGGTACACCTTAAAACCATCATAATCAAAAATCAGACAAGTCCTGAGAAAGGATGCGGTTTGTTTGCGTGTGAGCGCTTACTTGGCAGTCGATTTGAAAGGAATCCTTTCAGTTGCTGGGTTCCAGGACAATCTTCAGCAGTTTGGATGTCATATGCCGCTGTCTTGGGGTGATTTAGATGGAGTGCAGAAGCCCATGTTAACACTCAAGTTGTCGACCGTCTGCAGAACCTTTGGGCATGTCAGGATGTATTCATGGCGTCGGGAGGTACCCAGCGGAGCGGAGCCTTCCGCCATACCAGGTTTTCCGTGCCTGCTGTGTCCTCATTTATGATCTGGCGTCACCACGGCAACAACTCGGGATGAGCTTGTGCAGAACGCAAATCGCAACCTCAACCCCCCAAAATGTGCCGCAACCTGCTTTTTTTCTTCTGCGTTTCAGGACCACCATATTTTTTCCCCCGCGTTTCTTTTTGTTTTTGCATGACCGCCATATTTCTTCCCGTGCTTCTTGGTCTTTCTGCATGCGCCATGTCCAAGGCATCCCCTGTTGCCAGGTGGGCAAAGCGCCCAACTTCGCATTGGCCTGGCAGTTTGTGTCCAGTCTCCAAGGCCGCAGTCGTCAGGGTAAAAATTCAATCCAGGAATTGGACTGCAGGTGTTGGTCCATGCTTTTTATTGTTTTAGCCAGGGATCCATTTTGGGTATCTATGTTTGACCCACAGCCAGATGGACGAAAAACGGTGGCGTATTGCCGTAGTGCCAGGGCACCCTTGATTGGTGTTCAAACAAAACGTTTGGGAAGGCCGAGCGAGAGAGCCAGTCGGCTGAAGTGTGCGAACCGCGCCAACTTGACACATATTCTTGCCGGTGCGCAGCAGGGAATGAGGGCATGACCCTATACACCATTCCTTGTGGGTTTCCTTTCAGGGAACCCCAAAACAGTTCATTCCCTCATTCCCTCATTCCCTACTTATCGCACCAGCAAGTATTTGACTTACCCCTCTCTAGGGGTTTGGGGTGGGGTGGGTTTTCACTAGATCACTGGTAGGCCAAGCTGGCGCAGTGCCCGGGCCTGGCCCGGGCCCGAATCCTGGTCCCGGCCCTTCACTCTACCGCCCAGCCGGGTCTCCAGGGGTGCCGCGAGCAGGCGCGACTGAGAAACGACGGTTGAGTAAGCAAGGGACACATGGGTCAGGGTTACACTTAGTATGTGGTCGACTTGTTCTTGGCCTTTCCTGTTTTGAGATGGCAGGTTATTTGGCCTTGGGATAGTGGGCGAATTACTTTTGTGAGTTTGTTGAGAGCTAGTAGACCAGCTCTGCTTGTGCTGCAGGCAAAGTTTTTTCCATGGAGAAATGTTGGGCACTTCTCCGTGTGTTTTCAATGCCTGAAACAAAGCGACCTTCCGCCCACACCGTTGCTCTTGGTTGGTGCAACCACTGCAAATGTTGGAGGACTCCCAGCATTGGCTGCCGAGCACATTGCCCTGAGGGTGAGATCTACTGCATCAGAATAAGTCGGCTGTTGCTTGTGGATTTGCATGATTCCAAGCATGTGTGTGCTTCATGATCCACTGTTTTGTGGATGCATGTTTGAGGGGAATATCAGTACAAGCGTCCCCGTGTTCTCTCTCCAGGATCCCCGCCGATGAACCCGGGCATGCGTTCCCCGCGGACGGCCTCGCCGACTCCCGACAGCATTTGGCACGCGTCGATTCCTTGCTGTCCGCTGAATGGGGTTGTCATCGAACGGTTGAATCTGCATATGTGAACTAGGCATGTCACTCATATGAAGGAGAACAGCAAAACGTCAGTTCGTTGTCAAGACTTCCATTCAAGAAGCACCGGCTGATAGATTTCCACATGTGGCAAATCTGATGAAGTGATGGTTTCATATGGAATCTGTTGATTTGTAGTTGTCCCAATAGGCTGGTCGAGGCACATTTCGGAGTCGCAGAGTGCTTGTGGCACAGATCAAGATGAGATGTGCTGGCGATGGGCAAGAGGTGTGCACTGGACAGGTTGGGCGCTTGTTAAAAAATCAGGTGGGAGCCTTGCGTGGGAAAAGGCCGTCACACTCGAAAGTCTAGCGGACTCCCGGAAATTCAAACAGATGCACAGCAGGTTCGCGAGCATGTATCAGTGAGGCACAGGGCTTCAACAAGTCAAACACGAGACAATGGTTTAGCTGATCAATGATTTCGGCAAGCCGCGGGAGGGCAAGTTTGGTCCCGCTTGCCCATTGCCAAATGTTTTCGTGCGACTGTTTGGGACCGGACATGCCTCAGCCAGATTGGACTTGATGCGTTGTTGCCCTGGGTAAGTTCTGCGGCAAGAGCTTGCCCCAACGGTACTTAGTCCAAGCTGTTGAAGCACTTTGGCCTCGCCGTCCCTTCCTATGGAGGGTCTTCGCACATGTCCACCTGTCACCTTTTGGCCTTTCCAAATTCCCACCATGTCACACGCTTGTTCAAAATCCATTGATCCCAACACATCCTTACCTTCGCAGTGCCAAAGCTTTGATATGGTCGAATAAATGTCAGCGCGGCCAGACTTGAGCAGGCCTCGTTCTCTTTTCTGTGTTCCAAGTCACTTTCCAATTGCTAATGCTTGCTGCTGCTGCTGTGTTTGTGTGTGTGTGTTTTCTGATCAGCAACAATCAAGGTATATGTGTCGCAAAGTGTGCATATATATAATGTGTACATATCCATATATATATATATATATATATAGAGATCCACATATATATATATATATATAGGTGGTGTTAGCAGGTCGTGCGCGTCTGGGCATGACAAAGCGCTCCAGGCCGGTTGCTGCCAGGCCACCTCAGCGGCAGGGGCCCCAAGGCCCCCAACTCGCGATCCACTTGAAGAGACGTGGCTGAGACATGGAGGAAACAAGGGGTGGGGGGGGGCAGTGGGGGGTGTGCGGGGTAGGGGAACGGGTGAGAGCAAGTTAAGATGATCGACTAGTCAAGTCTAGTGAAGCCTCGTGGGTAGTCCTGGTGATGGAGCCCAGTTTCTTCGAGTGGTTAAACCTCATGGTCGAAGCCTATTGTTCCTTTGTGTCGTTGGCAATTCCTTCACTGTTCTTGGAAAGTTGTCAGTTAGTTGTTTTCGTTGGTTCTGTTCACTTTTGGTAGGGGGCTGCAAAAATCATAGGTTTTTTGAACCCTCCCGAGAAGACCAGCGGGACCCTGAGCCGCTGCTTGCGAACTTCCCTACTACAGGTGCTCGCCGCCTGTCGGACGACTAGGACTGGGCTTGCTGAATTTCCGGCAGCTCCCGTTTGGGTCTTTGTTTTTTTGTCCGGGGTGTTCGTCCCCCAAAATTTTGGTTTTGGGATTTGTTTTTGTTTTTTCCCCAGGATTTGGGGTTGTTTTCTTTTTCGGGATTTGGGTTGTTCCCAGGATTTGGACCCGCCAAGATGGTTTTGTTCTTCTGGTGTCCCTTTAACACCAGAGGGTTCCGTGGGCTTCTTGTGCTTTGCCAGGACACACGGCACCAGCACCCCGGAACGGACAGATGCCGCGGCCCATGATGGCAGGCCAGCCAGTGCATCAAGGGCAACAGCCGGCTCCAGGGCATCAAGCGCAAGTGGGCCAACCGCCAGGGCAGTTGCAACCTCCGCAGCCTCCGCAGCCTCCGCAGCCTCCGCAGCAGCTGCAGCCGCAAAACTCGCAGCAGGCTCTGTGGGGCTGGCGGCCGCTGGAAATGTCGCCGCGCCTGCGGCATGGGTCGCCTCAACAGGCGAGCTTCTGAAGTGAGGCATGTTGACCAATTTGAGAGCGAGCCTTGAGTGCCAGCCTCTGGGTAAATAACGATACATTAATACATGAGTTGAAACGTTGTGATTGAGTGACTTTTGTTAGTTTGTTTTGCTTTGTAAGGTGTACTATAGTTCAAGGGTGCTGAGAGGAACAGGGCAAGACAACACACGTGCCAATCTCCAAGACAGCAGTCGTCATCATGCTGCATGCTTTATCAACCATGGAGCTAGCCTAGGGATTTATGGCAGTGCTAGTGCTCTTGGATTCCCTCTCTTTCGGCCGGGGGAGTACTTACTCAAATCCAACCAGATATGTTGTTTCTGATTTACAAAGTGGATGAAGGACATCGGGGGCCCTGATTCAGAAAAGATCCCTGTCAGCCCAAAGATGGATGGCCGCCTAGACCTTTGTCAGGGTAGCGACCAAAACTCATGCTGACTTGCCAGCAGGGCAGAACCAAGAATGGATCCATAGGAAAGGTCTCAACTTGAACAGTGCTTGGGCGCGGTGGGTGACAAAGTTACGGGCCATGCGCCGGATTTGCCCGAAGCGACAGGGAGGCGCTCGAATTCCCAGGTTCGGATGACTGACGCGCACTCGCCGAGACCGCAGCTCACCAGGCATCAGTCGCAGCAGCAGGTCGGGCTGGGGCAGGGAGACGTTGTGAGGTCGTCAAGATTGAATGTTGTTTTGGCTTGCTGCTTGATAATGTGGCTGTGGGTCAAACCCGATGGTACCATTTTGGGGGTAGGGGTGCCACCCATTTTTGTCTATTTTAGTGGGCATTGGGATGTTCACTGGGGGTACGATTTGCATTTTGACCCATAGCCATGTGTGACAAAGGGGTAGTAAACCCTGGCTGATTCATACGAGGTGGCCCCTTTTTGTGCGCTTTTTGTGGAGGTGCGTCACTTTTGGAGGGGAACCCCTAGGATCAACATTGAAATCATGTGCATGATCCTTCACACGATGCAAGCACGCTGCAGTAAAGCCATCCATTTTGAACCCAACTCCGGTGTTGCGGAAAAAAAACATGTCCAATCTACCCAACTGGCACTTTGACAAATGAGCCATCAATTAGAAGAATCCAACAAAGTGTTTTCTATTGACATATGGAAGGAGAAGGGCTTCTTCGAGTGTAGAGTGTAGGGCAAACAAACCTAGCCACCAGCACTGACAGTCAACCATTTTTCAGACACAGGCTTCCCCAATGTTGTTTTTGTGGTTTTCACATCACCTTTTGGACCAATGCGGGTGATGTTTGAAAGGGAAATGCAAGTGGTTGAACATGTTCTGCATGGATAGTAGAGGTCTCTCAAGGATGGCTTCTCATGCCACGGGCCCAGACTGTTTGGGCCGCGAACGTTGCCCCTGGCCTAATTGGGCCGGGTCTTTTGCGAGCCCAGGAACCGCTGTCTGCGCTTCCTTGCTTCCGGGTGAATTGTAACGACCTCACACAACCTGACCCAAATGGTGGTTTATGTGGGAATAGCCCCCCAACCACCTTAGGATAGGTTGGTGAAATATTATAATTCACCCAGTTGCTTGGCGTTGTGGGCCTTTTTCGAGCCCAGGAACCTTGTCTGAACCCAGCCAATCAAAAGGTGGGAGAGGCATCAACGGGCAATGGCAAAGCCAGCCGGGAGCTCGGACGTGTTTCCCGCTGCCGCGAGGTCCGGATGCCGAGCAAGGACGCGCAGCTCTCTCCCCGCATGATGCCCACGCGCCACCCCTCACCCCCGCCGCCGGAGACGGCCCGAGTCTCGCAGGGGCGGCTCGGCGGGAAGTGGTGCAAAGCAGGGATCTCTAGGGCCTTTTCGATGTTCCTTCAACCAGAAGAGGCGTTGAAACTTCCTGGGTTGTGAAAGCCCTTTAAAAGGCGATGGGCGATGAACAAGCCCCCTTTTGCTCCCTTTTGCTGCATGATCATGGGGCCGTGTGAGGCGCACCTGAAACTGGGAGTCTCCTGAGAGATGCCAAATGAGCCCAAGATCCGGACTAATTTTGTTCAATGGCTGTGTTGTAGGCAATCCATGCTGTAGGGAAAGAAAATAAGATAGAAAGAGAACTGAGAAGCACATTCAAGCATTGGTGGACAAAACTGACCCATGTAAATGATGTCCACTGAAGGGTCCCCAATTAAAGCTCCTTCCCATAGTGTATCGGCTAGGCATCAGCTGCAAGCTTCCGAATGGGGAGCCTCCGTTGGTGATCTTAGAGAGTGGATGCTCAACGGGAAGCCATCGATCTAGAGCGCTGGGCATACGTCTTAGACGTTCCTGCTTTGTGTTGCCTGTAGGATAGACTCCACTCAAAACCCATGGAACATTGGGCCACAAAGGGAAGTACACGCCCTATTGGGCAATTGTTGTTCTAAATGCAAACAACATCTAGATAGCCCATGCATTTGTTGGGGTCCATGTGTGCCACAGGGATCCAGCTTTTACCAAGCCCGAACTGGGAACATGTCAAAAGTTGCCGTGAAATGGCCGTCGAGGCGGGAGCCAGCGGTGCCAGAGGAACCGCGAATGGGCCAAAGCCAGAGGGAGCGCTTTGAGGATCTCAGGCACGCGAAAACCTGAGGACTCGAAACTGTGGGTGTGTCCTTTGGAGTTGGAGCTCCTTTTCGTTGGTGGTAAAGGGAAACTGAAAGGCAAACCGAAGCCATGGGTGTGTCTTTGTTAGAGTTGGTACCCCCTAAACCACACAAAATGTGTGTGTGTGTGTGTTTTAAAGGGAGACTAAAAGTCAAGCCGAAGCCATTTTGGGGCTGCACTAGTTTCAGGCACACCCAAATCTTCCTCCGAGATCGATGCTCGCAGCCGGGGGCGCAACGTCACTTGGCAGGTACACAGCCGCCACCGAGCCGGTCCAAACTCAGCTGCTGCATTGCCAGCCGCTCGGAGGGCATTGGCACAGCGGCACACCGTCCGTCCTTTGGGAGATCCAAGTCCCCTGTCGCCTCTGATGTAAACCTGGCTGCGTCTTTGTTTTTGGGGTTGGTTTAAAGGGAGCCAAGAGGCAACCACACATTTATAGGGTACCCCAATTTTAAGACACACACACACCTTATTTGTCCGTCTCAGCAGGAAACCAAACATGAAACTGAGCCTGGAGAAGGCGTCCCTAGTTTTGACGCACAGCGCTGTCTGCCCTTGTGGGAAGAATGAGGAAAGGAGCACCCACCAACTATGATGCCATGTGATCGAATCAATAGAAGCTAAGTACTGAACCATTCAATAATTCTTGCTGAAACATGTAATTAATGTATACATTTGGAGTACAAGTCTGTCTCAAAGTGTGGAATCTCAACTAAAGCTTGTTTTCTCTGGCTATTTCTTTCCAAAAGGGTATCCTTAAAGCCACATCCACAAACATCTTCATGTGCTTATGCCTCCCTCCACTTTCGGCGTGCCCGAAAGCGCGCGCCCAGGGCCCGCAAGGAGGCCCCGCGGCCGGCGGCGGCGCTGGCGGCTCCGTCGCCGGCGACGTCCCCGGGCTCCGATGCGACGCAGGTGCCCTCGCGAAGGGTCCGGAGACCAAGCATGAGAATCCCACAAAATGGGACGGGATCATAAACCGCTCATGTTTTGGTGAACAAAAACGGGAACGAGAATTGGAATGACCCCTTGTGACAAAGAAACTAACTTCCATTTGCTGAAAAGAATGCCTTTTTAAATATTATCATTATTTTGCCCTGTCGGTTTTAAAGGGAATCTATCGCTCTTGGACATGTGTTTGTTGCTTTTCTCCAGGGGGTTAAGCAAATGGATGAGACCTCTCATGTTTTGGTGGACAAAAAGGGAATGATAATTGAAATGACCCTAATGACAAAAAAGAGCCATCCCCGTTCCCGAGCAGCAAGTCTGGTCGTTTTGGTGAAGACAAGGGAAACAAGGGAAAAGTAAAGCCACTCCAATAGGGTTGAAGGTTCTGACACCGGTGCATCCAGCGCACTGTTTCCAGGATGAATCAAGCCCCGATTGGTCAGGGGAACGAATCTGGGGTTCGGAGTCATAAAACCCCTGGTGATTTAGCTTCTGGTTGTCCAGTGGGTTGCTTTTCTTCTTTGTGGGGTTGGTGGATTCTCCACTAAACCAGTCAACCCCAAAAGTTCAAAAGGGTTCCCTTTCTTTTACCATGGTCACCAGGCAACTGGGTATAGGGGCTGTACGCTTTTTGTGGTGGGGAGCTTATCTTGCAGATTCCTGAAGGAGGCCCAATTCGGGCGATCCCCATGGGCGATCGCTGAAATCAATCCGCAAGATCCGATGCCAAGTAGTGGTTTCCCTTCAAATGGCTGTGGGTCAAAACCAATGGGACCATTTTGGGGTGGGTGCACCAGCCGTTTTAGTTTATTTTAGTGGGGATTGGGATGTTCACTGGGGGTACGGGGTTTTGACCCATGGCCAAATGTGTGTGTCATGTTCCCCTGTTTATGTTTTTTGGAGCCCGGGAATATGCTCATGTTCGTCCAGGGGCTTGAGCGGTGCTTTCCCTCGTGTCCCGCGTGTGTTGAGCCGGGATCGGATCGGGACCCGTACCCTTTCGTCCATTCAAACCCCAAAGAAGTTGGTGCTCCCCGAAAAGCGGGTGCCGCCGCAGAGAAAACAAATCCGAGCCACCCCAAACGAAATATGGGTTGAACCCTGCGAAAGCGACACCGGTGGCACTTGAAGGGGCCATTGATGGTGCCACGGTACTCTGCTTCGAAGTTGCAAATTGGGACACCACTTGAATACGGAATGACTTATTCTGCATGGGAATGGGCAACTGCGGCAATGCCAGAAACTGTTGTCAAAGGGGGCAGGCTTGGCTCAAGTGCCGATGCAAATGAGATCCGTGGACGAGACAGTATGGAAGCCCAAAAAGGGATGGGGTAGTAAAGGCGAGTTCATGGGTTGAATGCCGGAAGCTGGCTTCGGTTGGTTGACAAACACCCTCTTTTGCACCCTTGGCCTGTACATGCGCAAGATCAATCCCCGGTGTGTTCTGTTTGTGCGCCGGTTGGGCGCCACAAGCCCTTGAAGTTTATCCGCCGTGTCAAAACTAGGGCCCCCTCAGAGGCCAATATGTCGGCATCATTCTTTGACCATCCCAAGACTTCCTGCGAAAGAACATCTCAAGCGCACATCGGGCAAATCCTAGCATATCTCAAGCAGCAAAACCAAATGAACCTCTGTGTTTTTTGTTCGGGGCGCCTGGGGAGCCCAAACAAACAGATGGTCCCGTTGCTTTCCCCAAGCCAGGGACGCCAAGTCCCAAGACGAGGCATTCGTTTTGCGGGGCCAATGTTCAAGGCCTCCAATGCGACGCTCTCACCTCCACAGTCGCCTGCGCGGCTTGGAGCGAACGGGAGATGGCTCTTGGCATAGCCTAAAAGATGAGCCACGTGCTCAAAATCGATTCGGGGAGATGAAGGTTAGGGGCTTTTTTCCAGCCAGAATAGTTGCGGATATCCGCCTGAAATTAGTTCTTTACATGGTTCTGGGTAGACCATTTTTAATACCGGGTTTTGATTGTGACTCAGACTTCGGGTGTTTCTTTGGGTTTCCCTGAAAAATCCTAGGTCCTCAGGTGAGAAGGCCACCGTCAAAACAATGTCTTATAACATACTGTGGATGGTTGCGCAGTCCGTTCGCACCACGAAATGAAACCAATGGAAGCCATTTCTTTTCTCTACGGATTTACGCAATCATTCCAGGGTTTCTTAGGTGGTGCAGGATTTCGTCCACCCACTTTAGGAGCCTGAAGGATGGCTTCGGGCCGTTCCTTTTGGTTTCCCTGACAAAACCCAGGTGAAAAAAGGGTGCCCACAACAAAATATACATACTGTGGATGGACGAAATCCTGCACCAGTTTGAAACCATGGAAAGCCAAGGTTTGTTGGTATTTACACGGGAATCATCATTGCAGGGCTTCTAGGTGGTGCAGGATTGCGTCCATCCACAGTATGGGTCTGGATTTTAATTGAGGAGCCGAAATGGACACAAAGAGGGCACAACATGCCAAGGCACTGTTTGGGGTGGTTCCATATTTAGCATAGCCATGTTGGGTTCCCTTCGATGCACTGCATAGCCAGGATTTGTGGAGATAGTGAGAAGGAAGGGCAGGTTGAGCTGTGGCTCGATGCTAGCGAGTGTCAACGGCACAGATCGAAGACGTCTGTGTATGGGCGTGTCTCAAAATAGGGGACCCCTTTTTGGAAGATTTTAGAGGAGACCAAAAAGACTTAAAGTCATCTGTTTTTGGTGGGTTTACGGCAGTTGCTCTCCACCATGCTTCTACTTGAAGCCGGTTACAGCAGTTTCAGGGGCAGGTCGACCCTCTTATGGTGCAAGCGAGTGCTCGAGCAGCCATGGTTTCTGTGGGATGATTCGAAACCTCAATGCATTGTTAGATCAGGGCTAGAGTCACGATTGTGGGCCATTCTATCATTCTACATTCTACAAGCGAATCCCATGCATATTTTCTGGAGATCTCGGACCAAAGCCAGAAAACATCAGCAGCGTTGCCGCTACGCAAGTGTGGGGGAGGGGCTTGTGGTGCACATGCTCTGCATCACCGAAACCTGCAGGTCTCGGAGCCCTCCCAGTACTGTCCGTCGGGCAAGCAAGAAGCTCTTGCGGTTGTCCATAATGGCACTGTGATGCTGAATTCGTTTCTTGCCACCGAAACTCGGAGTGGCCACCTCAGAAGACCAAGGAAACAATGCTGTTGCTGAGGCAGGCTTGGCGCCCTGTGGCAGCATCCACGATGCCGGCAGCGGCGCCGCCGGCCTTGCCTCCTTTGGCTGTGCCTCCTGCCAACGTGCCTCTGGTGCCTCCGGCACCGGCTCCGGCTCCAGCGCCGGCGCCGGCCCCCGCGCCGATGCCTGCAGTGGCCATGCACTCGCCGCGGGAAGCGGAAGACTTTGGAGGTGGGTGGCGGCCGGCAGGTATATATGTTGACATGGATACTGAAAGATCCGGGTGTGTGTGTGTGTGTTAGTTTGCTAGTTATTGTGGTTGCTTTTGTTTGTTTGTGGACTTGTTTCTTTGGTTGGCTTGGTTTGGTGTGGTTTGGTTTGGTTTGGCTTGGTTTATGTTTGATTGTGTCTTTTATTGTGTGCGTATGCTTGCCGCTTGCTTGCTTGCTTGCTTGCTTGCTTGCTTGCTTGCTTGCTTGCTTGCTTGCTTGCTTGCTTGCTTGTTTGTTTGTTTGGTTGCTTAGTTGGTTGCTTGTTTGTTTGGTTGTTTGTTTGTTGTGTGGTTTCTTTGTTTGCTTTGTTATGTACAGTGTTTATTTAGTTGTTTGTTATGTATTTGCATTTGTATTAATGTAATAATGTATTGTGTTTCTTATTGTTGTTTATTTGTGTGTGTGTGTGTGTTTTATGTATCAATGTCCTTGTTTATGTCATTAGTGGTGTTGTCATTGTTTGTTTGTTTGTTTGTTTGTTTGTTTGTTTGTTTGTTTGTTTGTTTGTTTGTTTGTTTGTTTGCCATTGGTTTCTCTCGTTATCGTTTTATTTATATGGTTCTTCATTTGTTACTTTATTCATTTATTTACTGGCTTATCTATTTATTTATACATGTTAACATGTTGTTTTTTATTATTATTATTTATTTATTTATTCATTTTATGGTTTGTATTTTAGTTTATTGATTTATTGTGTTTTATGTAGTTGTTCTATTTATTTATTGTGTTTTGTGTTTATTTATTTTTTTCATTTATGTATTTGTTTATCTATGTTGTTGTTGTTTTGTTTTATCTTTATTGCTTGTGTTGGTGTGCTTTGTTGTTTGTCTAATTATATACGTCAATTGATTTGCTTATTTCTGAATGTATTTCTACATGTGTGTTTGTCATTTATTGTGTTATTTATGTCTTTCTTTATTTCTTTCTTTCTTTCTTGATTTATCATTTTTTCTTTCTTGCTTGCTTTCTTGCTTTCTTGCTTCCTTGCTTTCTTGCTTTTTTGCTTTCTTGCTTTCTTGCTTTCTTGCTTTCTTGCTTTCTTTCCTTCTTTCTTTCTTTCTTTCTGTCTTTCTTTCTTTCTTTCTTTTGTTCTTTCGTTCTTTCGCTCGTTTGCTCTTTTGTTGTCTCGCTCTTTCGCATTGTCGGCCATCACTGACCATGTCCCGATTTGGATCTGGTGCGTGCCACAATTGTGCAGAGTTGTTGGTTTGCTATGTATTTGCTTGGTAGTCGGGGAAAACTCGCGTGGCACTCTCTTTATGCCGCGGAGGCACCGCGTAGGCAAATCTGGCAGGGAAAACAATCGCGCTGGCAGCGCGTGTAGGCTGCTCAAGTAAGTTCCACCCAGGCAGGTCCGCAAATTTAGGCATGTCTTGCTGTACACAAACTTAAGAGTAGCGCCCGAGAAAAGTCCTCTTAGGCTCAGGCATAGGCTCGCGTAGGCATCCTTCCATGGCTTTACACCCGCGGCCAGTGTCTAGGCACCCAAAAACAACTCTACTCATTGGAGCCCGCCACTAGCCATGCTGCCTAAAGGGGAGATCACGGTTAAACCGCAGGAACTGTCAGTGCCCGTTGTGGTAAATGTTCGAAGGTGTTTGTATCCTTCAACAGGGACAACCCCGGGCAACCCAACCAACCCCAGAAGGCTGCGGATTAAACAAATGCGTACCAAAATGGGTTGCCCTGGTAAAGGGAACCGAAGACTAAACTCTCCGGTCCCCTAGTGGTTTAATTTTGACCCCTACCCAGGGTTTGTCGCAAAATAGGGGAAGCCCCGAAATGGTTGCTTTCCTATTGGCTTCCCTTTAAGCCAACCGCAAAAGTGGTACCACCAAAAATACACCCCCAGACAACTTGCCCTTCAGGGAATCCCCAGGCTCATTCCCAAACCCTGGGTCATTTCCGGCCTATCGCACCAGCAGGATAAAGGTAATCCAAACAACCAAACAAGCAAAACAAACTTTTAATTTCCCTTGTTGGTTTTAAAAGGACAATGGAAGTACCGGAAAGGCAATCCAAACAAACCACCCCGAGCCAATTCTTTTCCCTTTTGCCTTCCGCGCAGCCGGACCAGCGGCCCTGCAACTCCTTTGGACGCTTCGCTGCACTTCTCCAGAGGCGCGGGGCCGATGTTTCGTGTTCTTCCATTTGGTTTTAAAGTGGAAGAATATAAAAAGGGGAAGAACCTAAAAAGGGAAGAACCTAAATGGATTTTTTTAGAGGCGCGGCGCGGGTCTGAATATTTTGTATTTTCCCCTGTCGGTTTTAAAGGGAATCTATCACTACTACTACTGGAAATATGTTTATTTTTGTCCAGGGGACTTAAGCAAATGGAGGGGTTGGAACCCCCAAAATGGCTTCGGTCTTCTTCCTGTTGGGCTTCCTTAGGCAGCTTCCTTGCAGACTTGCTTGACTGGTGTCTCCAAGCTTCCCGGGATTTGGCGGAGCTGGGCTTCCTTTGTAAAAACCAGAAGAAACGGGAGGACCCGAAAAAAAAGACAGGGCCAGAGTTTGTGAAACTTGATTGACCTTCCCTGGGCAGCTCTTTCCCCCCCTTTCCATTTACTCGGGATATCTACGTAAATTATATCAAGCTATTGGGACTGGGGGCAAAGGAAACCTTTCGTTGAAAGATCCTGTTTGGGGGTGGAGGACGGCGCAATTTTGGGACGGCACATTGTCATTGGGCAGAAGAATGCGCCCCGGACTTGTTGATCAGCTTTGTTCCGACAATAGGCAGAGACGGCGTGCTTAGTTTGAGTGGGAGCGCTTTAAGTCAATGATGTTCCAGCCATGGTAGCGTTACCACGATCACCATGTTGCTTTGTTTCGAGGGGGGAGAGTACTGCCGCTGAGATCAGTTATTGCCCTCAGTAGCACCAGTCTGCATTCAGGCCGCGAACACAGAACAAAAAGCTGGCTAGCAGTCTGCCTGGGTCTGGTGTTGGAATCTGCTTAAAGGACCTGACTGTATTTTTAGAAGGCGCCGACCCAAGCAGACAACTGGTGTCAATGTGCTTGTTGTTTTGAACAGCCTGAATGCATTACAGTATGTCGAACTCCTTGAAAAAGGGACATAAATTGTTTTGCGCTATGTAATGCAAACTGACATTGTCGTCTTCCTTCCCTAAGCTGACCTGGAAATGAACACACCATTGGTCATGATCGCAGAAGAGACTTTGAGCTTTCCTCCACTCCACACACTGATGGACGTTTCCCTGAGTGTGAGTGTGTGATGCTGTCGTTACATAGCTTTGCTCGCAAGCAGCCTGGCTTAAAATTTGGGGATGATGGACGAGCCACCCAACCATATACTTGGATGTGGTTATGGACCAAACAGGCAGCCACTACCCCTACGCCTGCCCTGCAAAATTCGATTTGACGTACAAAAGATGCGCAAGCAGGCGCATGCTGGAGAATCAAAGAATGATCCTATGGAAAAATCACGTAGAATGGATCACCTTGAGACATAATGGTACCTTCTTCTCCATGCCCCGCACTTGCGCTGGACTCGTTTGCAGACTTTGGTTCGGAGGTTTGTTTGTGAGTGTGTGAGGTGGATACTGCCTGTGTAAATCTTCCATGTGTGCTGCAACTGTCAGACAAGTCATGGGCATGCTACTTTGCCTCATCTCTGCTTCAGCCATGTCTGGGATGTTGGCCTTGAGATTTGGTTAATAGACGCAGTCTACAGTTTGCTTAGGAGTTACATGGGGCGACTTACAAGATGTTCAGCAAAACCGACGGACTCATGTTCCCACGATGTTCCCACGATCACCTCTCCGGGCCATGTCTTGAGCGGATGAATGAAGGCCATTATCCACAACAAGGCTCCTCAAACGGCTGTCCTTTCAAGTTTCCCTGGAACCCAGTTGACATTCCTGTGTTTGCTTCTTTCAAGACCTGGTGCTCTTTAAAGAACCTTCAAGTTAACCCCTCGAAATTTCGACTTTCCTGTACCTTTCAGAAGACGGTGCTCTTTTAGTCATGACAAGAACGAGTCCTCTTAGACTATCCTATGTTCGAAAACGCATTTGAAACGACAAATACTTTCCTTACCTTCCATTTGCTTAAGTGTATTTTAGTTGCCCCTGTTGGCTTTATAGGGAATCGCACTACTGGACATATGTTTGATTTTCCAGGGGGGTGAATAATGGAAGTTACAGACTCAGTTACAACCCGCACGAAAGCGAAAACTAATCTGAAAAAATCCATCGCAGGTGCCTATCACACAGCGATCGCTGCTGCACCAGTGGGAAGCCGGGTGCGAACTTCCCGCTACCCAACGGGTGGGCATGTTGTTCCAGAAGGAGCCCGGAAGCGCCGGATGTTGCGAGCCCCGGAAGTCTCATCTCTGGACATGTTTCGTAGTTCAGGTCTAGATACTGATTAGAATTAGAATCAACATATATAGCGTTGGCTGGGGGCTATTCTGTTTGATCTTAGCCTGCAAAATGTGAGACACAAGATGAGATTCGCTTGCATCAGGTCGTCAAGCCCAATGCTTAAGCCAATGTGTCATTTGAGGCAAGGTTTGATCTCAATGCTTGCAAGCATTCCCGGGGTCCCACTCCATTCGTTAATTACTTGCTATGTTGACAGCATATGTTCACAGCAACATCCTCCATCGAGACGCACTTTTCAGGGCTGAGGATCTGATTGGCCGCGTATGGAAGGACTTCTTCTCGGCACTTCTCGGCGAGGAGGCGCGTATGTCTTTTTGCAGAGGTATTGTTCCTCCTGGAACCCAAGTAATGCAGACATGGCCATGAATTTTAAGAGAGAACCACCTCAAAAAGTGGTTGGTGGACATGAATCCCCCCAAATTAATGTCCATCACAGGGTCCCCAGTTGAAATTTAGGCTCTTATATAAGCAGTTGCAGATGTGGTTGTAACTTGTGTGCTTGCTTCCAATTGTTGCATTTTATCAATGTGAACTTGCCTTGTGATTCATGCGTGTCATTTACGGTGCGACGAATTCACAGGCGTCGTCGGTGGACCGCGAGCAGTTCCAAATCTGGGCAGTCGTCGGCGCCTGAGACGAGAGGTGTTTACGCCGGTGTGTCGCCCGTTCAGCCTTGAATGTACCCTTCATATCATGACTTATACTGATTGATGCTTATACGTATAATATACAAAGGATGGCGATTGAGTTTGATTGCCAAGTCACCCTGATTGCACCCTGTGCTGCCTGAAGGGAGTTTTCCCAATCCGTTGATGCAAGGATGCATTTTTTGCATGCAATTGTATGAGGCCGTTTGGCTCGTACGCAGCCATGTGGATTCCATGATGGCCCATCGAAGCCCCATGGCCTTGGCCTGGCGTTCGGGTCGCCTGATGGCACGGAGGTGACGGCAGAGTTCTCCGACGAGCTGCGTGGACTGGAAGACAACGCGGGCCACCGGGCGAAAAAGTTTCGCAGCTTGCGCCTTGCGCTGGCCTGGGCAATCTGGGTAATCCCAAGCGTCCTCGGGATGCCGAGTGGACAGTGCCAACTAGAGAGTCTGCATTGCGACTTGCAAAAAGAAAGTGCAACTGACCCTGGAGGTGCCTCATCCCGGTGAGAGGCTCGGGCGAGCGTCAGCCCTGGCGCACTGGTGCGAGATCTCTTGGACAAGACTTGTCACATCTTGCGGAATCATGATCACTCTGAGCGGATAAGGTGTCACTGCTTACGGAAATGAAAATGTGACTACTTACGGAAATGAAGCCACTACACGCGGAAAAGTATAGGGGTAGGAAGCTCCTTTCTAGGTTCCTTTCTAAGGCTCCTTTCGAAGGCTCCTTTCTAAGGCTCCTTTCTAAGGCTCCTTTCTAAGGCTCCTTTCTAAGGCTCCTTTCGAAGGCTCCTTTCGAAGGCTCCTTTCGAAGGCTCCTTTCTTTCTAAGGCTCCTTTCTAAGGCTCCTTTCTAAGGCTCCTTTCTAAGGCTCCTTTCTAAGGCTCCTTTCTAAGGCTCCTTTCTAAGGCTCCTTTCTAAGGCTCCTTTCGAAGGCTCCTTTCTAAGGCTCCTTTCGAAGGCTCCTTTCTAAGGCTCCTTTCTAAGGCTCCTTTCTAAGGCTCCTTTCTAAGGCTCCTTTCGAAGGCTCCTTTCTAAGGCTCCTTTCGAAGGCTCCTTTCGAAGGCTTCCTTTCTAAGGCTCCTTTCTAAGGCTCCTTTCTAAGGCTCCTTTCTAAGGCTCCTTTCTAAGGCTCCTTTCTAAGGCTCCTTTCGAAGGCTCCTTTCGAAGGCTCCTTTCGAAGGCTCCTTTCGAAGGCTCCTTTCGAAGGCTCCTTTCTAAGGCTCCTTTCTAAGGCTCCTTTCTAAGGCTCCTTTCTAAGACTCCTTTCTAAGGCTCCTTTCTAAGGCTCCTTTCTAAGGCTCCTTTCGAAGGCTCCTTTCGAAGGCTCCTTTCGAAGGCTCCTTTCGAAGCGGATCCCCAAGACAACCTTCATCACGGCCCCCTTTTGCCTTCATCACGGCCCCGTTTTCAGGAGGGATTGGCCGGGGATCCGCTTTTCGAGCTGGAATGCCGGATTCCAGCTCGAAAAGCGGATCCCCAAGACAACCTTCATCACGGCCCCCCTTTTCAGGAGATTGGCCGGGGATCCGCTTTTCGAGCTGGATTCCAGCTCAAGACAACCTTCATCACGGCCCCCCTTTTCAGGAGATTGGCCGGGGATCCGCTTTTCGAGCTGGAATGCCGGATTCCAGCTCGAAAAGCGGATCCCCAAGACAACCTTCATCACGGCCCCCTTTCAGGAGGGATTGGCCGGGGATCCGCTTTTCGAGCTGGAATGCCGGATTCCAGCTCAAAAAGCGGTCCCCAAGACAACCTTCATCACGGCCCACTTTTCAGGAGGGATGGCCGGCGATCAGCTTTTCGAGTGGGTAACATCGGTGACAAGATCAGTACGTACCCAAAAGCGCCTTTGGCCACAAGATCCTTTGTCTCAGTGGTCAAGCCCTTTCTCTGCGATTGGCAGGGGTTTTGGGATCGAATCCCGCCGGTGACAACGAGCTAGAATCCGGACCGAGCTGGAGTGCCGGATTCCAGCTCGAAAAGCGGATCCCCAAGACAACCTTCATCACGGCCCCCTTTCAGCAGGGATTGGCCGGGGATCCGCTTTTCGAGCTGG